AAAAAGTCAAAATTTGGATAAATAAATCCGTTTCATATAAACATTTTCATTTGTTTAAGAAAACCTTGTATATTATGATAAAATCAATATAGTTTTCACAATGAAATAATGAAACTTGGTACGGTATTACATTTGTGTCATTACTTAAAACGATGGAAGCTGAAGGAAAAGAGATGACAGGAAGATCTTAGGAAAGAGACGGCGAGAGATGAAGAGAAAGAGATACTCGGAAGATTGAGTGAGTTGGGTTTAACGCCGCTTTTAACAGTATTCCAGTTATATCACGGCGTGTCCGCTTAATGTGGGAGGAAAGCCCGAAGTGATGCAGGTCTCAGACATTTACCACTTCGGTGAAACCCACGAGCACGGGTATGGTGCTGACAAACCTAGAAACATAATCGGGGCGAACCGGTATTCGAACCAACAATCATAGGTTTCTGGCGTGCCCAAGGGACACAACTCTGCACAGCGAATCGCGGCGCCTTAGACGACTGGGCCACCCGTGCATACTCGGAAGATGAAGAGAAGGTGTTGTAAAAGGCACCTCAACATGCTTTGAGGAGTTGCGTCCCTTAGTGATGCATAGATCCTGTAATCATGATGTTTATATTTACATTTATTCCAGTATAACGCAGACACGCCATGTTATGGCTGAAACTCATGAAAGCACCTCTGACAGCAAGATAAACATGTTTGAAAAGTTTAAAGGGAGGTAACTCGTACGTGTATACCACCCATGTTTTATCGATTCACCAGGTGGGCTACACTCTGTCACTTACAAGTTTTAGCACGGCCCCTCTCTCACACACCCACTGCATATATCGATCTGGGAATACATGTACCAGATGTCGTAAGACATTAAAGCGTGTAACATTGTATCCCTATTATGATTCACCTGGAATGCGTACAATTTAGCGCAAATTAGGGCATCAATGTAATGATGTCTTACATGTAGTTATCAAGTGATGAAAAGATGCGCGCCGATAGTTTTGTGGTTAAAAAATCGATCATAACGCCGAAGGACAGGGCTCGATTCATGATATGGGACAGTGACTGAAGCCATGTTTTAATCACTCTGTCCAGAGTTGATTGTTGGCTGACATGTGGGGCACCTATTCAAGTGGTAACATTGTGCTGCTGCTGATTGTAGCTTTTGTCACGACTGGCATATGTGATTGGTGATACCTCTTATAGTTTAGGGGTGGCCCAGTCGTCTAAAGCGCCGCGATTCGCTGTGTAGAGTTGCGTCCCTTGGGCACGCCAGAAACCTATGATTGAGGGTTCGATCCCCAGTTCGCCCCAATTATGTTTCTAGGTTTGTCAGCACCACACCCATGCTCGTGGGTTTCACCGAAGTGGTAAACGTCTGAGACCTGCATCACTTCGGGCTTTTCCTCCAACCGCCGCGACATCACTGGAATACTGTTAAAAGCTGCGTTACACCCAACTCACTCACTCTAATATTTTGAATGATAGCATAAGGGAATAGCTCTTGTCACTTGAAGTGATGTCGTTTGCTGTGGTTACAACTGGTATATGTCACACTACTCTGATGGCATGGCTGATACGGAAATTGTCACGATTCATGTGCCATCCCAATGAACAAGGTCAACGAATCTACTTCCTCAGCAAACAAGTAACGAATACGCCTGGGTTGTCTTAACAAGTTGTTACCTATGAATTTGGTGCAATCCCGATGTTTCTATACGCCAGAAACCTATTATTGAGGGTTCGATCCCCGGTTCGCCCCAATTATGTTTCTAGGTTTGTCAGCACCATACCCATGCTCGTGGGTTTCACCGAAGTGGTTAACGTCTGAGACCTGCATCACTTCGGGCTTTCCTCTCACATCAAACTGACACGCCGTGATATAACTGGAATACTGTTCAAAGCGTCGTTAAACCCATCCCACACTTAACACGTTGTCGTTGTGAAGGACACGTGTCGCTGCTTTGCTGTCATTGTATAACACTTCGTACAGTTTCTTGATTATCTGTATATACTAACGGGGAAAAAGTAACTGTGCGTCATGTAAAGTGGTGTTAATGTGATAACAAAATAACGATATAATATTTGATCATTCAAAAAGCGTTAGCGGCTGGTTCTCATCCTTTCGTAGGCGTTGCTCCATTTCATCCCAGATATGTTCTATTGGGGACAGGTCTGGAGAAACAGCCAGTTAGGGCAGATCAGCAATCACATGCTGCCTCAAAAAATATGTCACAAGACGTGCAACATGTGGGTGGGCATTATCCTACTGCAAAGTGACGTTACATACCTGCATTTGAAAAAGGTGGAACATGATTTCGATCGTTGTCGTCGTTGTAGCGTACGCCATTCAAAATATCATTAACGCTCCCACCCTAGAACTGACGATATTGAGTGACGCAAGCGTCGCTAAATTAACATTCCCCTGGACGCCTGTAGACTCGTGCACGACCACCAGAGCTGTCCAGATGAAATCCTGGACTCATCTGTGAACAGTATACTGTCCCAGCCTTGTCTTCCGAACCACATATGCTGTCTGCACCAAGCTAGGAGTGGCTGACGGTGACGTGACGAAAATCGGCGAACCGCTGGATGTCGGGACTGGATGTCATGCTCCCTCGACTGCTTGCGCACATTTCTGCCACGAATTGGTCTCAACCCAGGAATTGTCCAAGCTGTTATTGTGGCAAAGTTTGGTATCGATTCCGTAGATGTACCAACCGAATATGGTTGTCTTGTTGACCTCCAAAGAGATGATATTGTGTTTCGATGAACATTGAAATATCTGGCAACGTCGTGTTGATCTTCAGGACTGAACAAGCGTTATTTATCGATGGTGAAACAAACGTTTAAGACACGTGTGTGAGTATCAAACTAACGCTCCCAACAAACACGCAAACATCCAAATTGTACACCGTCTATTAACATGCACATGCAAATTATGAAATACGACCTTTAACTCGGGGAGATGTCTTCACAAATATGTATTGAATGATGCATTATTTAATTTCCGAATAACTTAATTTTTATTTTATATGAAGCACAGTTATTTGTTTCTGTGAGTATGTAAACACTGTCTACATAATCAACGTTACATTCACAAACACCACTCTTTACGTTCACTAACAATATAACACTTGCTGCATATGCAACACTATCTGTATATGCGCAACCTACACGGGTGCCTCAGTCGTCTTAGGCGCCGCAATTCGCGGTGCAGAGTGGCCTCCCTTGGGCACGCAAGAAAACCCGTGATTGTGGGTTGGAATCTCAGTTCGCCCGTATTATGATTCTATGTCTGTCAGGTTCTCGTGATTTCACCAAAGTAGTAAACGTCTAAGACCTTTATCACTTCGAGCTTTCCTCCCACAGTAAGCTGACACGCCGTGATATAACTGGAATACTGTAATACGGCGTTAAACCCACCTCACTCACACATACTACACTATCTTCATATGCAACCCTATTTGTTAGCCCAGGTGCTGCTATTTGATTGGCTGATTGTGAGACCTGACTTCTACGGGACAACGTTCGCTACATTCATTCGTTCACATTTCAATCACAAGAACTCAATTTGTGTTTTCGCTGAGAATTGCAACTGAACGAAGGAAAACAAACTGCAATTATTTTAATTTGTAATTTGTACTGAAAGGAGTTTAGACAATAAACTATATGAATATGTAAATGCAACTGATTATATATTTCGCGGAACGAACATGTACAGTGTCACAAAACGGCAAAGCTGGAAACAAAATTCTTTCCAAAACTGTCTGAAGAGGACTGGAGAACATTACATCGCCTGCTATCGCCCAACTCCAAGTTAGATAAAAGTATATTTTCTTAAACAGTATACACAGAACGTGAGGTTGAACGTTATCTTTACGATAAACTACATCATAGCAAAACAATTTCTGAAGGTGCACCCCTAAATAGAACATTAGAAGCCATACTCGAGCTCGCTATCGGCTGCGTAAGCACCGTTGTTACGTCTACTACCCACTTGTGCTTAGGTAGGGTTGTAGTCAACAGGGAATTAAGATTACGATTTGTTTGAACTGGTAACTGATAAGACGTCACTGCATCGTTAAATCACTAAGATGTTCAACAAGATATACCTTTGTCGTTTATCTTTATTGCCTAAAAGATGATTGATAAACTACTTTCAGAGCGTCGTGACCGCACGCGACACTTGGTATACTGTATACTGCATGTGGTGAAATGATATAATCACTCATTACTACGGCACTCTGCCTGTTTTTAATTTTGCTGTTTGACCTCACAGTCGGCAGTATTCCAGATTCATGATGGCTGCCTGTTAACAATCAAGTCTTGGTGCGGCAAACCCGTGGTTGATAGCACGAGCCTCGATCAGTGGCATCAATCAGTCAGGTAAGTGAGTTTTTCAAAACGAGCAACAACGTGATTATGATTAATTCTTACCCGGGTCTCCACGGGGTACATAACCACAGAGAAATGTAGGGTATCCAGACAGTGATATATTTTCACAACTTCACGTACAAGGGGAAGTGACCTACTTTTATACGGAAATATCATCGAGCGAAACTAAATTTTTGAAGCTTTACAGACAAATTACAAATTGTATCAACTCAGTATTAACTCAACACGCTGGTGACTATGTATCTGTTTTTCATGGTGTCTGGAGGGATATATGTGTGTGGTATGTATCGGTCTTCACAACATAACTTGGCATTATATTGAACTGTGCTTAAATTCGTATTTTGCATTAATAATTCGCAAAATTTACAATTTCTATCAAATGTTAATAAGCATAAGCTTAATCATTATTATTTGTTCTGTGTGCAGGTCTGTCCTCCGTGACAGCTGACTACCCACACACCGTCACACGTGTTGGCGACGATGTTAATAAAACCATGAACCCAGCTAATGTCAGCGTCACATATTTCGTATGGAGGAATGGTTCGATAAAACTGTTAGTGGTCGTGCCTAAGTCACACCGTGTAGAGGTACTAAACAGCAGTCACACCGGCTACATGACCAGGATCAGATACACAGGGGAGGACTCATTATCACAGACCGGACAGCTGAGGTTTACCATCTACAATGCTACTGTACAGTACGCTGGTTCTTACTCATGTCAAACAAGCAGTAATATGATGGTACCTGGATGTAGACAGGTCCTCGTTGTATCACGTAAGTATTACGTGTGATTAACAGAATAATATTCCAAGAAATGAAAGTGCATTAAGCTGCATTGCGGTAATAAATACACAATACCAGAAAGTAATCACTGGTAGCAGACCCTTTAGTTGGGAAGAAAGTAAAACCGTTAGAAGTATAAAGATAGGAGTGGTATATTACTTTTTAATGTTTCATACACCTTTGGTCAGGAGGGTTCAAGTATTTCGCAAGGCAGCTCATGCTCGTCACATTCATCACTTATGCCTCGCAGTTGTGTCACGGGAAATGTGCCATGGGAATTATCACTTTCATTTGTAATTTTAAGATTTCAAAACCTCCTGCCATTGGCTACAAAGGAAATTCCATGGCATAACATAATGAAGAAATGAACTGCAACAATTTAATTTGAGTAAAGTGTAATGTTGGAATACTGACATGATTTGGGGTAATACCCTCAACGGTTGTTGGTGGTAAAATATAGATGTAACGAGGTTCGAATATTACAGTAATATAATGGTCAAGACATCATGATATAACATTGTTAATTTAAACTCCATTTACTAGATATATAAAACGACACAATTCTATGGTCCTGGTTGACTGGTTTATTTTGAAATATTAATATTTTAACAGAGAAGCCGACCACACCTAACATCACAGGACGTGCCTCAGTTGTCTCAGGTGAGAATGTCACCCTGACATTCTCCTCCTCCTCCCAGAGTCTGGCCCCGGACCACCCCCCACTGAACATGACCTACACCTGGAGGAGGAACAGGACCCTGCTAGGATCTGGTGACGGGTCTCACACAGGTGGAGATGACCTGACAATAACCCACATCAGCAGAGAGAACCAGGGAGACATCTACACCTGCCAGGCTTTGGAGGAGGGGCTGGAGTCTGACTGGAGTCACGGACATGTAATGGAGGTTCAGTGTGAGTAAGAACTTACCTTGTTTAAGGTATGAGAACGAAGTATCTTATCTTTCAAACTGTGGTTCTGAGCTACAGTTTTGTGAGAACTGTATTTTCAGAAGCATTGTGCATTGTTCATAATAACGTTTATGTTCGGAAGTATTTTCAAAGTATGTCGGCGGGTCGTGTCGGTATAATAGACACCAAAGTCAAAATCAGCTGTGAAAAGTTTCCGCTTCATATTCATTGCAGTTTCAGAAGGTATATAGAAAATTCATGATCACTATACAAATATTTTCACGGCACCTGGATATGTTGTCTAGGGTTTTAAATATCAATGCAGACTGAAACTTTACTGTCAGCATTGATGTTCATATATTTTCAGCATATATACACAGGATAAAATACAAACACTAAGTTATATTGATTGCACGAAATGTGATGTCATCACAAGACGAAGCATACATATTTATCAGTCTGGCAATTTGAGAGATGTTTACGGTGATGTGAGGTGAGGTGAAATGGGGTTTAACGTCGCGTCCAAGATTATTGTACCTATACAGCGACGTGCATTGACGTGTGTGTGTGTGTGGCTGCTTCTACTAGGCCGGACTGATGCCGATTTATAGTGCTAGCCCACTGAGATACCATGCCGCAGATTAACATGAATACCCCAATCAGACTCAGTATACTGACTCCGAGCTGACCAGTCCCTGTTTTAGGCCCTTTATGTCGAGCGCCAGACAGGGTAACAACAAGTACCATCTTTTAACGTCTTTTGGTATGACGCGGCCGGAGATCAAACCCCGGACCTTCCGCTCTCTGGGCGGACGCTCTACCACTTGACCACGGAGGCGGTCTAGAGATGTTTACATTTTTAGATGAGTTATGAGCATGGTAAAGCACAAATCCAAAATCAAGGTAAAAATGAAACATTACAAACTAAACATATACCAAATACCATGACATGTTGAACGAACATTGCTGAATAGCATATAGTGAAACCTCAGTCCAACCTCCATTGAGCGATATCTCGAGGTACATATTCCATATTCATACACCATTTATGGCTGTTAACAATTTGAATGTAGTCTCAACAACAATATATTAATTCAAGGAGACGGCGTTTTTATTGGAACTGTTTTAAGAAGCATAATTTAAAATATGGTATACTGTTGTTCTTAGAATATCTATTGCACGTGTTGAAAATCTAGGTAGAAAGGATGTATTCTAATTCACAATGGCTAAGTTACTATGCTAAATCGTCCTTACTACAGACCGATGTAGTGGCCCTATAAAGCTAGAGCTTGAAATATTCTCTTTAAACACCTTTCATTTACCTTCTCAGGTATGTAAACTTTCCATTGTAAACCACTCCAGACACGACTTATCTATAAGATCTGAAAGAAATCTTGTCACTGAACATGTTACGCCAATGACGCAAGTATCTGACGCTAATGACGCCGTGCTCTTCCCTTGACGCTTGTGATAGGCTTGATGGCAGTCACTGGGCCACGACATATCAATCTTTCAACTTTCAATCGATTGAAAGCGTCCATGCGTCTTCACTGTAAACCACGGCCATGCAACATTAGCACACACCCGCGTTGCAAATGCAAATTCCGTAATAAAATAAACATGTATTAGATCATAAGCAAACTTATAGCTCTTACCTAATCTTGACTTGTCAGTTGTGCGCTACTGTTATTATTTATCGCCACGTTTACTCCTGTTTCAAAAGCAACAGTTTTCCAGTACGCTATGATACTTGCTTTGTACATTCTTTTCTGAGAATTCTGAGAATACTTGTATACATTCTATCTGGAGGAAATCCTTGCAGGTACGATCAGATATGAACGCTATATGCACTCTTGCTAATCACCAGTTAAACGATCCCTTTTTTGTCAGTGTAAAATTGTATAATGGGCTTCGTCCGACGTCCGTTGTCCACAGGTCGGTCCGTCTGTTAGCAATGAAGCATATTAAATGCATGTTCACATACTAGGTTGTACATCCGCTTGCTGATTGGAGGTTCGACAAATTCAAATGGCCACCGCATCAGTGCATTTTTAATTTAGGTAAAAATATAATATTAGTGCCAATCTCCTCTCCTCAGAAAACTTTGGATATATTCCTTGGAACACTTAAGAGGATCCGTCTTAAACATGAATGAGTGAGTACGGTTTTACGCCACTTTTAGCCATATTCTAGCAATATCACGGCAGGGGACACCAGAAATGAGTTTCACACATTGTACCCATGTAGGAATCGAACCCGAGTCTTCGAGGTGACGAGCGAAGGCTTAAACCACTAGTCTACCTCACCACTCGTCTTAAACATGAAATAAGATCTTGTCATTGCACATGATACAACGAAATCATTTGTAACATGTTGGCTCCAATTTTGTCTATCACATACGTACTTACCAAATTACTCTAAAGCAACACTACATATGTAAAACTGATTATTCTGTAATAAGATGGGTTGACTGTCAAGGTCAAGGTCATCATGCATAGTGTGTATAACCTCAATATTTTATGATCGGGTTTTCCCTCAGAAACACTGACCTTAATTGATCGTGAAAATTACAGCGTTTCCTCTTTTTCAACCCTTCACTGTACCTCTCCTTTTCATACCTCCTTCCAGGGCCCAGTCGTCTAAGGCACCGCGATTTGCTGCGCAGAGTTGATTGTTGGTTCGAATCCAGGTTCGCCCCGATTATGTCTCTAGGTTTGTCAGCACGATACCCGTGCTCGTGGGTTTCACCGAAGTGGTAAATATCTAAGACCTGCATCACTTCGGGCTTTCCTCACACATAAAGCCTACACACCGTGATATAACTGGAATACTGTTAAAAGCGTTGTTATACCCAAATCACTCACTCACTCACTCACTCACTCACTCACTCACTCATCCCTCCTTCCCTATCCTACCCCTCCCCCTTTTATAATATTGGCCCCTCCGTCACATGTGTATTTCCAGTAGTCACACACGTACATGTCACAGAAACAAACTGCACATGGTTATCTCGCTATTCACACATATATTACAAAACCAAACTGTACTCGTATATCACATTATTTAGGACCAGAAAGATCCGTTGTCGCGTGCAGTAGCATTTTCCGTTTAGCTAGTGATACAGTGTTTTCGTTTTCATTCATTTCAACTTTCTCTAAACCCACAGAGATGATAAATCATTTAAACAGGTAACATTGACTGTATTCTGATGAATATGATTCTTGAGATTCTTTCAAATGGCAAAGCGTTTCTGTTCATTCAAAATCAACTTAACAAAGATCTGTATTAAAGACAGAAATCGATTGTTTATTTACTACCTAATTCGACAAACGAAACTTCTACGATATCTCGTAAGATTTGCGACAATTTTACTGAAGTTCACCACATTTACAAATTAAAGTGACCGCTTATTCCATATGTTATATATCAGAAACATTAGAACCCTAAACAATGCTTTTGTTATTTATTAAATGTTCCAGCACTTGAGGTTACTAAAGCTTGTGACGCTCCCATTGTCGTGGGTTTCACCGAAGTGGCAAACGTCTAAGACCTGCATCACTTCGAGCTTTCCTACCACATTAAGCTGACACGCCGTGAAATTACTGGAATAATGTTAAAAGCGGCGTTATACCCAACTCACTCACTCACTCACTCACTCATTCATCCCTCCCTCCCCATCCTACCCCTCCCTTTTGTACAACACTGGCCCATTTCCAGTAGTCACACACATGTCACAGAAACAAACCGCACGTTTAATTCGCTTTTAACACATATATTACAAAACCAAACTGTACGCGTACATCACAGTATTCAGGATCAGTATGAACGGTAATCACGTGCAGTAGCATTTTCCGTTGTAAGCTGGTGATACAGTGGGGAACTAGTGACCATAGTACATCAAACATTCCAGATGGACCTGACCAGATACAGTTTAACGGTGCAAGTGACAGGCTAAAGGCAGAAGAAGGTGAGCCTCTCACAGTGAGGTGTTCTGCTGACTGTCACCCCGCCTGCACTGTGACCTGGTGGGACACATCCAGACAGAGGGAGATCACAGGACATAGGGAGGCTGTGTTGTATATACCAGCTGTAGACAGATCTGTGTCAACAACAGATATGGGAATACATCACGGAACCTGACGCTGGACGTTTTCTGTAAGACTCAAACAACAGTAGCGATAGACTTATATATAAGGCTACCGATAAGCATAACAAGAAAGAACACCACACCCGCCAAAACATGTGCAGACACAGAATAGCTCTGGTATGATATATTCCGTGGATCAGCCGTTCTGATTGTACCACCCACCCCTTATTCATTAACAATATGGATCAAGCGCCGAACACACACACACACACACACACGCGCGCGCGCGCACACACACAAACGTTCTGATTGTACCACCCACCCCCATTCATTTAACAATATGGATCAAGCGCCGAACACACACACACACACACACACACGCACGCACGCACGCACGCACGCACGCACGCACGCACGCACGCACGCACGCACGCACGCACGCACACACACACACACACACAAACAAACAAACAAACGAACACAATCCTAGAAGTTATCTCTCCAAGGGAAAATAAGATTAGAAACATAATAAACTGCAAGTATTGCATTTTTAATGTTCCAGCACGAGAGGCTACTGGAGTTGGCGTCGCTTCGACCGTCCCTGTCGCTGCTGTCTGTTCTGTCCTGATCGTCGTCACCGCTGTGGTCGTCATATTTCTTGTTCGTAGAAAACAGACACGTGAAGGTAATACTGTGTGGTGTGAGTGTGAATGAGTACAACGTGAGAGTCACATTAACTATTCTATCATAATATTTTAGAATCCTGCATTCTGATTGGTCCCCAGAAGTGTTGGATCCACTCTAGGCCATGAAGACCAGATTACCGCAAACAAAATATTCAGAAGCACTTTTTGGGAAATCCTGCACGTATGACAATTTCAAATATGGATCTCATTTCATTAACGTTGCTAAATAACGTGCTGCGGTTTCTACGTTAGGGCCAGTAAATGTGGCAGTATATTTCAGGAGAAACACGTAAAAATCAAATATTTAATGAGAGTGTAAAGAGTTATAGCGTTCGGTTTGGAATATATGTTACAAGTTTCAAATCTACGTTCGGAAGCTCTATATCTTCTTAATGAATACATGAATGAACTGGTTGTTTGCACCAGGCATTGTTGGCCGTTGCTCACATTAGTGACCATTGATCAAGATATCAGAAACCGCCCTTCAGTTTCGTTAACTACGAATGAGTCCTGTATACAGCTGATCGATTCATGTCAACGAAACAATTATTTTTCCTGAATTGTACACAAGATATATTCTGGGTTTAAAATTCTTCCTGGAGTCTACTGTAATCACGGTATGTGATGTGTACAGCTATGTGTGTGTTATCACGTGGGAATAGTTCGAGTCTCAATATTAAGGTAAAATCTATCAAATGAAAAAAATTATCAATACGATATACGCGAAACAAGGACGGCATTGTTGTTTTCACTCGTTAATGGGATGAATAGCTGTTTAATTAAGGTTGTTATTGTCGTTGTTTTTGTTGTTGTTGTTGTTGTTGTTGTTAACCACAGTGTCTTACCTTTAGAACAACATGAAAATGACGGTCTTGGTGAGGGTAGTGTGTGTCTGGGTTGGGAGGGTGGCTGTAATGATCATCGTTGTTATCAATATTACTAGGTCTAATCAGTTATTTAGGTTTCTTCCTTGTCGTTGACTTTGAATAAACGAAAAGACGGCTATGCTTCCCTGTCCTTGGTGGCCATTATTAGTAATCACAATGATCAAAACCAAGTCTGTGTGAGGAAAGTGAGTCTGACACCAGCGTTTAAGGAAGAGTAATACTTCTGAGATTATATGCATAACCTTTCACTCTCGGAAATACAGTAGGTCAGACACGATGTTAGGAATGGAAAAAAATAAATATATATTATCATTTCACAGGTATGCAATGAAATGATTAATTAGTTTATCTGTTATTTATCTTGAAATATGTATCCATAATTATCTAAAGACATTTCTAACTTTCAGAGAGGAGATACATTCATAACCGGTGAGTACATGCTGTTCATCATGTCACTGACCTTGCATAGTCAGATGAATAAAACTGTATATATACAGTTAAACTGATAGTGTATCACAGATTATCTGAAGACTAGTTTGCCTTGATTAGTTCTTTCTGCTTTAATCATTTTTAATGCCTTTCCCTCAGCGTCGTCACATATACCCGGGACGAGGAAACAGACGGAAGCTACCAGGAAATAGAAGGTTGGTGTCGTAAATATTAATTAGTCATTCAACGCCATTGCATTTATATCGGATTACGCTTCTTAAATTTTACAGGGTAATTGAGAATCATTTCATGAATAATGTAATCAACCCTTTCTTGAAAACAGTTCGTATTTTTTTATTTGGATAACTTTTAATGGACATACTGTTAAGTCATAACTTATCACTAACATTAATTTGTTTCTGTCGTCAAGGTGTGACTTCTGAGAAACGTTAAGCACTGATTGACCTTTTCAAATCATGAGCCACACTGGCTCTTTTACCCCAGTGCAGCTTTATTTAAACTTCTGTATCGCGAAAGAGGAAACGAGTCAAATATCACAGCATACTTCAACCTATTTACCATTAGGTTCAAGGTATGCAATGACAAGGAGTCATCTGTTATTCATCTTGCATTTTGTATGCATAATTACCTGCCCAACGTTGTAACTTTCAGAGTGAGGACCCATTCAAAATCGGTGAGTATCTGCCATCTTCAAGTGAAATGAATAAAAAGTTACTCTCTTCGCAATGATTGCGTGGCCATAACGGCGAAACTATATACAAGCTGTTTAACACGATGTAACTTGAAAATGTATCACAGCTTATCTGTAGGCTAACTTGTCTCTTATTTCAATCTTTTTATTTATTTTTATTTTTCATTGTCACCAGCGTGGTCTCATATGCCCGGGATGAGGCCAAAGATGGGAGCTACCAGGAGATAGAAGGTTGGTGTCTTTAGGTTGTCTACCGGTTTGATGGTGTAATGACCATGGTTAACTTGCACAAAGCGATCATTTTGTGCAAGTGGGCCCTGGAGTCAAATAATAATAATAATAATAATTGATTTGTAAAGCGCCTAATATCCATCGACAGTTGCTCATTGGCGCTGTGACAAAGTTAAAATGTAATGTCTATGTACATATGCCAACAATCAGTAGATCTATTGAAAAGCTGAAGTGAAGAAGTGGGTTTTGAGGAGAGACTTAAACGTTTCCTTAGAAGCAGAGTTTCTCAGATTCAAAGGCAAAGAGTTCCATAACTGTGGACTGCAAAAGGAGAAGGCACGGTCAGACATAGCAGAAGTAGACAGAGGCTGATACAGTAGAGTTCCACCAGAGGATCGGAGAGCACGCTCTGGAGAGTACAGGGATATAAGATCTTTGAGATAGTCTGGATAGTCGCTATTGTTGAGGCAGTCGTGAGTGATGATACATATCTTATAGTTTATACGAAAGGAGACTGGAAGCCAATGTAGTGCTTTGAGGACAGGACTGATATGATTGGATCTTGGAACTTAAGAGATGCATCTAGCTGCAGAGTTCTGAATGCGTTGTAGCTTTGATATGGCTTTCATGGGAAGATTAGCATACAATGCATTGCAGTAATCCAGTTTGGATGTCACAAGACATTACATCAACCATTTAACTGTTGGAGTATCAAGTAGATGGCGGACTTTACTGATGTTATAGATGCTATGGTAGCATGCTCTGCTGGTTAGTGAAATATTAGTGTCCATGGCCATTGTTGAATCAAAGGTGATTCCGAGATTACGGGCACTGGCAGTTGGGTACACAGTGGTATCACCAATATGAAGGTATACAGAGTCAGGGTGAAAGTTTCTTACTTGCTGTCGCGAACCAAGGATTAAAAACTCAGTCTTTTCTTCATTGAGTTTGAGATAATTGAAGCTCATCCAGGATCGTATGTCATCAATACAGCGCTCAAGGGCGGCGAGGTTCAGAGACAGCTCGGAAGTTTTAAAGGAAATGTAGATCTGGTTATCGTCCGCATAGAGGTGGAAGTTAAGAGCATGTTTCTGGATGATATCTCCAATTGGCAGGATGTAAATTGTGAATAGCAGAGGTCCAAGGACTGAACCCTGTGGTACACCATAGTGACTTTTGCATGTTGTAGAATGACGATCATGGATCTTAACAGACATGGTCCGGTCAGACAGGTAGGATTGGATCCACTGGAGAGCTGTTCCCCGAATGCCAAGTCGTGTGTTGAGTCTGTGTAATAAAATTGCGTGATCAATAGTATCAAAGGCAGATGAGAGGTCAAGGAGAACAAGAAGAGTGGTTTTCCGCTGCCCAAAAGATGTCAGGATGTCGGTGTGGACCCGAAGGAGTGCTGTCTCAGTACTGTGACTTGACTTGTATGCAGACTGGAATTTTTCATCAAAGATGGCATACTGTATAAGACGAGAGGAAAATAATTTACCATTTGCTTAACGGCATTCATGGAATGACACTGGACATTAAATCATGAGAGAAACACATTAACGAGTATAAAATAACTTTGCTTCATATCAAGTTCACTAAAAATTAATTTATTCTGAATTTAAATAATGCATCTTTCAATACATATCCATGAAGACATATCATCGACTTAAATGTCGTGATTCACAACTGCACATGAATTTTCATGCACGCCGCACAATTGGGATATTTGTTTGGAGCATGACACTCACACACGTGTTTTTTAATGTAAACAGTTCACAATGAATGTTTAGCTGTCCGGTGCTTATAAAATTAACGTCTACGTGCCGTGGGTAAGCCGCGAACAAGAATGGCGGAAAAATTGCAAGATACTTAAATGTTCACTGAAACACAATATTATTTCTATCGAGATGTCTACATCACCGCAACACCAATGTCACGTGCGACTTCACGTCAACAAAACAAGCAATTCGGTTTGTGTATCGACAGAATCGATACCAAACTGCCACATGAACTGCTCGGACAAGTCTTTGGTTGAGACCAATTAGTGCCCAGCCGGTCAGGGAGCATAATCTTTGCTGGACATTTGGAACAACATCCCCAGTTTGTATTCAATCATCTGGCGTCTTCAAGGCGTCGTCGATGCTCGCATGCATCAACGCAAATGATGGTCACACCCCATTG